ATGCATGTGGTAGCTAGAGGACAATCTTGAGTATCGTCCCTCAGAAGCCATCCATCATTAGCCTGGAACTCTCTAAGTAGGCTAGGCTTGCTAGCCTGTAAGCCTCGGGGATCTGCCAGACTTTACCTCCCCTGTTCCGAAACTATAAGTGTGCACCACCACATCCGCCCTTTTTAAATGTGGGTTCTGGAACTCAGGTCCTCGTGCTTACAAGGCAAGCACTTTACTAATGGAGCTACCTCTGACCTACTTCGTTATTTCCGTTGTACTCTGATTTCCTTTCTTACCTGTGAGCACACTCATAATTGTTTCCTTGAGCTGCATTATTGAGGGAGCTAAGGGTCTGTGGTTTCATATGTAGGCTTGGAAAGTACATAATGAACTTTTGATATGGTTTCTGACTGCATCTTGTCCTTCTCAAGTTAGTCCAAAGAAGGATTTGAACTTGTGATCATTTGAGTCCTAGTCCCTGCCTAGTATGTTCTTTTCTTTTTTTCATTTGTGATGCTAGCTAGTCCTGTCACCCCCATCCTCCACCTTTTGTGATGAATGTGGCAAGAATGCCTACAAGAGTGTGGCACAGAGCCAATGATGTCACGATTTACATTTTGTGGTGCCTCTTGAGTAGCTCATTGTCCAGACGGTGATTATGACAATGGTTATTTCTGTGTATCCTGGCTCCTTTGCTGGTGGGACATATTTGAGAAGCTGACCCAGGAGGAGCTGGTTCTTTCTCTGATGGGTGAATGCCAAGCCCCTGGGTTCCTGCTGGTTGGGTGGGTCTTCACCAGTTCTTCTGTCTAATGGTATTTGGCTTTAATGGAAGGTATTCTCTGGGAAGTTGGTCTAGTTTGTCTATTGCCCCTGAACTCAAGTCTTCCCAAAGCCATGCCACTGCTACTGATACCCACAGATCTCCTGGAGACACTCTGACTTTCCCCCCAAGCCATCATGTTTGGACTTTTCTTGTGACCACAAGATAGATGTTTGGTGTGAACTGTTGGCATCTTGAGGCTGGATGTGTGAAGAGGGCTTGCTAAGTGAGAGGTGTTGCAAATGAAGGCTCTAGCCGGTTCTTTGAGCCTTACCCACATCTCCACGGTCATAGCTGTTGAGTACTCGTTATCAAAGAGAGTAGGTCCCTAGATCCCACTCCCGTGAATAGAGATATCCACAACCCCAGGCCAGGCCTTTGCTTGTGGCTCCCTGTAAGCCACAGAGCCATAGTCTCTGTATCAAAACTTGGTCTTTGCCTGATGCCCACTCCTAGGTCAGGCTCAGCCCCAACCTCTCAAGTCTGCATCTAAGGCAGGTGTCTGCATCCCAGGCAGGCCCAGGATCAAGACCAGGATATGCATCCATCCTGTCCTAGGATGCAGGCCTAAGCAGCTCACCTCACTCTCTGCTTGATTCCCACCACCCCACACCATGCTCAGGCTTTCTGCTTGCTTTTTCTGCCTGACTTTTTTCAACTTGTTCCCCACCCCCCACCTCCACCCCTTTCCCTCTGTCTTTTTCTCTCATTGAAGGTTGGAGTGGGGGCAGGGGCATGGGAGAGCTGAAAGTTGGAAGAGAGATAAGATTCATCAATATTTAATTTTTATGGAAATCCTGTCCTCGAAATCCCATGGGGCTGAAAATTGTTCTGTGTTTCAGGATCCAGTGATGTCGCCGAGGCGGTTTTGTTGTAAATAAAACTGCATTACTGTGTGCAGCTCTCCCGTTGCTCTGCAAACACCCGGAAACTTGACAGTTTAATCCACTCAGGGAAGCAAAAAGGTTTGGGTCACTGGTGGGAGCAAGGACAGGCATATGAGACGGGCAGCCCTGGGATATGAGAATGAGAGG